TACTCAGCTGGCCAGACTGGACCTGTTCTGGTTGTATGACTGCCTGAGTGTGGGGTGAGTTCCCTGGGTGGTCCACGTTCTCTGCTGTTTGTGCCACTCAAGTGAAATCCTGGGACAGGCCTGCATAGCCCTGGCTAAGCTATGCCAGGACAGACCCTGCCTGGTGGACACAGATAACATGGCCTGCCCCCTCTAGGCTGCATGTATTTCTGTGGGTGCTCAAAACAAGTTTAAAGGCCCATGCTGTGTTTCCTAGGGCAAAGTGCCCTCCAGTGCCAGCTTCCTTCACTAGTGATAGGCTGTGATACATGTGACCCTTGGGAGGAAGCTTTCCCTGTAAGAGATAAGCTGGTGTGAGTAGGTTCAGCATCTAGGGTGTGAGGATCCACACAATGAACCGACTGAAGAAACCTAGAATGGTGCTAGCCAAACAGGAAGGGGTGCAGTGTGGCACATCAGACAGGCCTTGGTCTGAGGACAGGTGTGGCTCACTGGTCCTACTGTCATGGGGGCTGTGGGTACTCTAAGGTACAGTAGTGCAGCTTCTAGGGGCACTGAGACTGTCTCGTGTTCCCTAGTGATGCCTTAAACAGTGTTGGCCTGACCCCTTGGCTGCCCTGTTCTCTCCCAGGCCTGTCTGGCTCAGGAGCCCTAGACACCGTGCCACTGGCACAGTGATGTTGCTACTCTCAGTCTGGGTGTGCACTTGGAGCCCCTGGGGCTTCTCAGTGATTCTTCTGTCTTCCCTGACACAGCGGATCGTGTCAAGAAGGGCTTTGATTTCCAGTGGCCACAGCCTGACAAGCCCATGTTCTTCTACGTGACACAGGGCCAGGAGGAGATTGCCAGCTCTGGCACGTCCTACCTCAACAGGTATACAGCTACGGGCAGCCTGTGTGTGGAGCTGCCACCTGTCACAGTATATGAGGAGCCTCAGTAAAGGGCATGGGTGGGAGACTATTGTGGGTCCTCCAGTGCCCCCTTGGTTGCTGGGAGACCTATCAGGTTGGGGACAGGCTGTGGCGAGCCTGTTACTGACAGATGTTCTCAGGACGGAGGCAGCCAACGTGGAGAAGATAACTACAAAGCTGCTGAAGGCAGGTGCCAAGCCTGACCAGATTGGCATCATCACACCCTACGAGGGCCAGCGTTCCTACCTGGTACAATATATGCAGTTCAGCGGCTCCCTGCACACCAAGCTCTACCAGGTACTCCCCATGCCTTGCTTCTGGCCTTAGGCTATCAAAAGGTACCCTGAGGGCCAAGGCTTAGTGCAGCCTTCCTGATGACTGGAATGTCTCCACGGGACCCACATAGAAGAGGAGGGCTGCTGCAAGTACTCCATTGTCACATGCATGCTGTGGGCTATATGCAAGGGCACCCAGCAGATAATACATTTTAAAATGTGCCTTGACATGTTGAACAGTGAGGAGAGAGCACGTGACTGCACATTGCCTGCATCATGTTCAAAGCTGCCTGATACGCTGTAGGTCAGTGCCTTCAGCCACAGTAAGTGCATTAGAGTAGCTTTCAGACTGCTCTATAAAGTAGAAAGGTTGTGGTGACAGTTGTACCTTTAATGTCAGCACTCTGGTGGTACAAACAGGTGGATCTTTGTGAATTTGAAGTCAGCCTGGCCTATGAGTGTTAAGACAGCCAGGGCTACACAGTAAGACTGTCTCAAAAAGAGAGCAGTTCAGGGTTAAATGGACAGGATAGCTGGTGCCACCTGGGGGACATGGTACTTGTACCCTAATGGAAGCTAAGCTCAGTGTCCTGAGCATGTGATAGATGCCACGTTCTGGTGGCTTTATGTTGGGTTGTACCATGGCCAAGGGTTGGCACCATGCAGCCCACACAGTCTCTGCTTCTCTGTGACAGGCTTGTGGTGTCCCCATCACTGTGGACTTGTATTGTCCAGCTTTACCCTGCTCAGTGATGCAGGGAGGGCTGTGGCTGATGGGACATTGTCTCCTTCAGGAAGTGGAGATTGCTAGTGTGGACGCCTTCCAGGGCCGGGAGAAGGACTTCATCATCCTGTCCTGCGTGCGCGCCAATGAGCACCAGGGCATTGGGTTCCTGAATGATCCCCGTCGTCTCAATGTGGCCCTCACCAGAGCAAGGTGGGCAGCTGCCCGTTGTCATCTTCCTTCCACCCACCCCACCCCACCCCTACAGCAACAAGTCTGTCCTGGAAGTGCACTCAGGCTTGATATGGCACTGTGCCTCTGGCATCCCTGTCCAAGAGCTGGTTATTTTGGCCTTACTTCAGTACAGCCACAACTCCCCTGACTCTAACAGACTCCAGGAAACCACTGCCTGCTCCACAGCCAGCCAGCCCACTGCAGACATTTGGAGACTGACTTCCTTCTATGCTTGAGCCATGGCTGGTTTCAGTTAATCCTCTTTTTAAGGTGCCACCTCAAGGGTTGACCAGTGTTGTTTGGTTCTTGGCACCCAGCTCTTGACATTCAGGGTACTAACCCTAGACACTGGAGTCAAGTGGGTATGACTATGAGCTCTCTCTTGGTATGTTGGTTGCCCTGCAGGTATGGCGTGATCATTGTGGGTAACCCAAAGGCGCTGTCAAAGCAGCCCCTGTGGAACCACCTGCTGAGCTACTACAAGGAGCAGAAGGCGCTGGTGGAAGGGCCACTCAACAACCTGCGTGAGAGCCTCATGCAGTTCAGCAAGCCTCGAAAGCTTGTCAACACTGTCAACCCGGTGGGTGGGCCAACGGGCTGGCCCTGGGACCTGGGGAAACTGGGAGCTTTTAGCCCCTGCTGCTGTTTACTGACACATTCCTCACTCTTGTGCCACCCTGCAGGGGGCCCGCTTCATGACTACAGCCATGTATGATGCCCGAGAGGCCATTATCCCGGGATCTGTCTATGACCGCAGCAGCCAGGGTAAGTCTTCCTGGCAACCACAAGTATGTTGATTTTCCCACATCCCAGTCTGGGTCTGACACCCCATGGGTGGCCTCCCAAGCTGGCCTTGGCCTCCATCTGGAGCTTGCCCCATAGGTTTTGGTGGCTTCTCCAACCAGGTCCTTGGACCCCTTGTAGGCTCCCAGGGCTGCTCTAGCCTCTGCTCTGGTCCCTCTGGTGCCTCTGAGGCAAGCCTGTGTTCACCTCAGCCAGGCTGGCCTCTGCTTTCTGGAAGCTTCTTCTGAGTTGCCTAGAAAGCACCAATGTGGCCAGCATTTCACCGATCCCTCTCTGCCCTCCACTAGCAGCACCCTGTATGGGAGACACACTGGATCTCCTGCTTGTCTGCTTGGTGGCTGGCCTAGCAGCTAGTTCACCATAGCATTGTCTGCTGGGGCCCTACTTCTGACTTCAGGTGTCTTGCAGGCCGGCCGTCAAACATGTACTTCCAGACCCACGACCAGATTGGCATGATCAGTGCCGGTCCCAGCCATGTGGCTGCCATGAACATCCCCATTCCCTTCAACTTGGTCATGCCTCCCATGCCACCACCTGGGTACTTTGGACAGGCCAACGGGCCGGCTGCTGGTAAATGGCTTTATCACCACCATGCTGGGTCCTCATCTGACAGGGTTAGGTGGAGCTTGCTGACTTTCACTGCTATCTTTCAGGCCGGGGTACCCCAAAAAGCAAGACTGGCCGTGGAGGACGCCAGAAGAACCGCTTTGGGCTTCCTGGGCCCAGCCAGACTACCCTTCCCAACAGCCAGGCCAGCCAGGACGTGGCCTCACAACCCTTTTCACAGGGTGCCCTCACACAGGGCTATGTGTCCATGAGCCAGCCCTCTCAGATGAGCCAGCCTGGCCTTTCCCAGCCAGAACTGTCCCAGGTGGGCCCTCACCAGCACACTGGCAGAGGGGTGGGGGGGGGGGTAATGGGGCACACATGAAACCATTGTGGCACCTTTCTGAAGGGTGAGTGACCCTGTGGGACCTGGGCATGTCACCTCGCCACTAAGGCTATACAAGGTGTGGTCTGGTAGGTGCCCTGCCTTGCTCACTCTGGCTTTGCCTTCCAGGACAGCTACCTGGGTGATGAGTTTAAATCACAGATTGATGTGGCACTCTCTCAAGACTCCACATACCAGGGAGAGCGGGCATACCAGCATGGCGGGGTCACTGGGCTGTCCCAGTACTAGAAGGTAAGTGCCCTAGTCGGCCCATCTATGTCCCTGTATACAAATGTGATGTGGGATGTGGGCAGGTTCTGCCTCCACTTAGCCCTGACACCTCTCACCCTGTCCTTGATCACAGGTGGCGGCAGAAGAGCTAAGCTATGTGGCTTAGTCTATCAGCATCTTATTCTGGGTAATAAAAAATAAAAATAAATGGATACCTGTTTTCCACTGCTAAAACTGAAGCACCACTGTGTGAGCAGCCGAGGAGAGGAGATGAGAGAGGAGCGAGAGCGAGCGGAGAGCGGCCAGGGAGGACGACGGAGAGGAGCTGAGCGCCGAGGAGCGGGCGCCCCCTGCGGGCGGTGAGAGGAGAGAGGCCCGCACCGCTGCGAGGCCGGCCCGGCGCCGCGCCCGCCAGAGGGAGAGGCCTCGCCAGGACCAGCCCGCTGTTCTTTTTCTTTGTTTATCGAGATTGAGGGGCTACGTTTTAGCAGGACGAACTTCGCGTTTCTGTACCGGAGCGGGCGGCCAGGAGCGTCATCGCGCTGTCCCAGCGCTAATGGGTTTCATTTAAAGAAAACACGGTGTTTGGGGGTGGGGGGCTGTTGTTTTGGGTTTTTTTTGTTTGTTTGTTTGTTTTTTTTTTTTTCTTCTTCTCCCAAAGATTCTTTGAAAGGAGTATGGGAAGTACTTTGATCAGTTTGTCTCTAAGACTTTAGTGGTGGACCTGGGAGATGCAAGAAGCTTCCAGAGAGACAGCGCTGAGAAGCCTGAGCCCTGCAGCCTGGGATCACCGCCTGCACCATGGCCAGAGGATTTTTGAGTTTGAGCTTCAGAAGCTGCAGGCGAACTCCTGAATGTGACGATGCCTGATGGCCCGCGGGTTCTTCCCCCATCGTGGGTGGAGGCTTCATTGCTGGGCGCTCAGCCCCGGCCCCCAACCTCCCGCAGTGGCCACCCGACCCTTATCCAGGCACACCTGCGCCAACGCAATGGAACTTAATTTTTGGTCAAATTTGTTTTAAGCTTTTTGTCACCAATAAAACATGAACAAATGGTCCTTGCTTTCGCATGGGGCTGTCCCTGCAAGCATGTCTCGGCTGGTCAGCGGCAGCCACACTCATCCACCACCATGTCCTCATAGTGTCGCAGCACCACATTATCGCTATTGTCGAAGAAGAGCACGGAGATGGGCGACAGGCGCGCGGGCACGCAGCAGGGCAGGCCTGCGCCAGGAGTGGGGGTAGCCGCGTGCATGAGTGTGCGCAGCACAGCGTGGTTGAGTGCAGGTGGCCCGCCAGATCTGGGCAGCACTTCGGGAAGCGTGCATGTACCCTGGCAGAAGTTGGCCAGGAAGCCGCGGGGTGCGATCACCCAGTGGTGCCACCCCACCTCTCGAAAGCTCACGTGCAACCGTCGCATGCGACACGCACCCCAGGGACTACCTCCCACCCCAGGTTCTGTGTGGCGCCTTGACCGCGGCGGGGGACATAGCCGCGGGTCTAGTGTCACCAGCAGCAGCGAGGCCTCTGCCAGGTGCGCACGGGCAGTGGTGGCTCCACAGTGCAGCGATAGCGCCAGGCGCAGTGTACGCGGCACCGACATGTTGGCAGCTACCACGGCCCCCAGTAGATCGGCGCGTAGTGGCAGCCCGGGTGGTACAGGGACGCGTAGCAGCTCAGTTCCAGGACTCTCGGCCCACAGTGCCACGCTTAGCTCCCACCCGTGCCTGTCCCTATTCTCAGCCTCCAGCCGTAACTCCAGACGCGCACGTGTCGGGCGCTCCACAGGGTCCACGCCGGACAGGTCGAAAGTGACGGTCCACTTGGGGCGCAGCCCCCTGGTCCTGGTGGGCTCTGGGGACCTGGAGAACAGACCTGGAAGGGAGAAAAGAGTGTGGACATGGTGTGCCGACCTAGCAAACGGGCTGGGCTGGGCTGGGCTGGGACCAGGAGGAAGGGAAGCGGGAAGCAGGAGTACATCTGTAGGGCATTGCTGACGGAAGGGTGGGGGCAGGGCGCCAGAAGCAAGAAAGACACACTGTGCCTACACTTGGAGATGGGCCAGCCAGCACCTGGGGCCCTGAAAAATGACCTGAAGGAAGGCATCAAAGAGTGTGAGGTTGTGGGGTGGAGGCAGGGCTAAGGTTGGGGCCTGGTCCTGGGAAGCCCCAGGCATGTAAGCTTGCGTCCAGAGCACTAAGAAATCAGGGTCCCAGATTGCTAGCAGGCTGGACCGACGCGTGGGGGACCCTCGGCCTCATGAGTCCTTGTCTAACCACAAACCCCCACTCACCGCTGTCCGGGATGTGGCGCACGATGTTTCCGGCGACCCCCAGTTCCTCCACGTGGCATGGTCGCAGAGGGTACCCCGCTCTGGCTGCCTGGGGGTCGCGGCGGCGAAACAGACGCCACATGACAGGAGGCACAGGCCGGAGCGTGGGGACGGCCCGGGGTGCTTCGTGCAGCCTGAGAGCCTGGAGCAGGGCGGCGGTGGGGCCCGAGGGTGCTGGTTCGAGGGCCAGGGGCATTGAGGGCAATAGGAGCAGAAGCAGAAAGAAGTGGCCAGGACTGCAACGGACAGGGAGCATTTTCCTCCCAGATGGTGTCCAAGAGAGTCTGCGGGGTCCACTGCGTAGGGAACCAATGGGCTGGTGGCCGCAGGTCCTGGGGGGTGGGGGTTGAGTTCCTAGAGGGGGCGTGTCCGAGCCCTACTGATCTGGAGGGCAGGACCGCTGGGTGTCGGTCCCAAGATGGGTGGTCTAGAGTTGACCTGGAGGGCGGAGCAGCTGGCAGCCGGGGTCCCTGGAGAAGAGTCGCATCCTGCATCTTAGACTGGGGTGGGCGTCGTGTGAGCAAGGCCATGCCCCCAAAGGCGGGGCCAGGTACTTAAGGGGTGGGAGCAGACCTCCAGGGACTGGGCCGGTCTGGGCCTAGTCTCCAGGAAAGGGGGTGGTCTCTCAAGTAGTATGAGAGGGAATCCTGGATGGCGGCGTTGAGAACAGGGACTCAGAAGAGCTTGTCCTTCACCAGCCCGTTCCTCAGCGGCTTCCTGGGGACCAGAAGTCAGGACAGATTAGTTTGGGAACCACATGCTTTCCTCTCCCTGTTGAATATCTTCCGTTCCCCTTTTCCACCTCCCAGGCAGGTAGAACTGGCCAGGGTCCATGCCTAACTAGCATTGCTTACTAGGCTTGCCCCCTGACTCCCACCCAGACCCTTCCTGCTGTGGTCCTGTGCGCCTGCCCGGCCCCTAAACTCCCTTTAGAATATTCAGAATCTTTGGGGAAGTTTGGAGGGTCCCTCAGTGCTGGGGATGGAAGGCAGACCTCAGAAACTCTAGACACATGCTCTACAGCCAAACTGCACCCCAAGTTCCAGCTATGGAGCGTTTTAAAAATTTTTTTTTGTGTGTGTGAGAAGTTTTATTAGAAAAGGAAGGGAGGGAAGGAAAGAGAAAAGAGAGACACAGAGACAGAGAGAGGACAGAAGAGAAAAGGAGACAGGAAAAGCCCTATCTGCCCCAAGAGAACAGCAGGAAAACTTAAACTGTCTTTATTGAGATAGGGTCCCTCTTTGTGGCCCTGACTAGCCTGGAACTCCCTTTGTAGAGCAGGTTGGTCCCTGACTCACCTGCCTCTGCCTCTTTTTCCTCCGGACTGGGATGATCTAGAGCTTTTAATTAATACAGTTTCATTCTCTATGATTCTCAGAGAGTTCTTGCCAGACTGAGGGTTCCTCAAGAAGGGACAAGCCCAGTGGTTTCTGCCCCCGCCCCCAATAGTCAGCTCCTGAGGGAGGGGCTGTGGCTGTGGGGGGGGGGGCGCTAGTGATCCCTTTCCACAGTTTGTGATCTTGGGACATATGGACTTTCTCAACTGAGACAAAGCAGTTGCCCCCAGGGATGGGTGGAGGTCCTGCTTTTGGAGCCCTGGGTGCTGCATTTCCAAACATTTCTCTCTATGTAAGTTTTGTAGCAAGAGGGTCCTTCCTGTTTTCAGATTTGTTTGATCTCCCTACCCTGTTTTCTTAAGCCTTGTAGAAGCCTCTGGAATGTTCTAGAAGCTTCAACATGCCCTCCCATGTCTTCACAGACCTCATGGCCCACATTAAACATACCACTTCAATCCAACACATCCTAAATGAGACTCCCAATAGACTTCTTGTGTCTCAGCAAATGCAATCCTACCCTGAACCCCATCTAGACAAACAGCAGTTTGAGCCATTAGCCTGAAGTTGGTTAATTCTTGGTCTAACACTCTCACAGGCAAGCTGTTTTAGTGGCTGCTCCCATTTTTATTTTTAAGGTTTTGCCTACATCAGAACAAGACAGACTAGCTGTCCTGCTGTGGGCTCAGTCAGACCTCGTTCTCTAGCTGAACTCAGACCTGGGAGAGGCTTCACACACCAGCCCCAGTCCTCCATGACGTGCTTGGAAAGAGAGTGCCCATAGGCTGGTAGATTATACACTTGGTCCTCGATGGCGTTGTATGGGGAGGATTAAAATGTGAAGCTTGTGGTGTCAGTGCATGCCTTTAATCCCAGCACTTGGGAGGCAGAGGCAGGCAGATCTTCTCTGTGAGTTTGAGACCAGCCTGGTCTATGAATCAAGTTCCAGGACAGCTAGGGCTGTTACACACACACACACACATCTTTTCTGAAGGGATTTTTAGTCTCACTCAACATAAAGTTTTTCTCTTTGCTTACTGCTTGTGGTCTTGTGAGCCCTCAGCTTTCTGCTCTGGCTGCTAGGGAGCTTACTGCCATCGTCCCCACCATGACAGACAAGGTAGGGCACAATGACTCCATCAGGGCTGTGAATGAAATTTTTTGAACTACAGCTATGTGATTTTGTGAGGGCTAAAGTTATGTTTTAATTATTCAAGAGATCTATAAAACTATAAAACAAATGCCTCTAACCTGTAGACCCCACTTGCCCAGAGGCAGATAGCTTTCTGGACTGCTGGGAGCTGTTGGTTGCCCAGCTGCACAGGATGTGCTTGATCCCACACAGGAGAGAGGTACATAGGCAGGAAGCATGCCAGGATGTATGCTTGCCCCCATTGGACAAAGGCAGGAAGTGCGTAGCCTTGTGGGTTTTGCCTTTATAAGCATCTGACTAATGTAATTTGTGGCCATTCTCTGGGAATCCTGGGTATGGGCCTGGCCATTGTCCATCATCCTGGCCAGTATTTAATAAAGCTTTCTTCAGATTTGGCTCCAAAATTGTGGTAGCGGTTTCATTCTTGCCTGGTACAATTAACGGTTTTTGGTGAGCTGTGACTGAAGTCTTCCTGCAAGTGTTTCCTCAGGGCCAGCGCACTGGAGCTGTGGTCTAGAGGAGGGCACCTTGCTTGTAAGGTGTAAAATTCTCCTGTGTGGTGCTGGTTTTGAAGACATGAAGGGACCATGGAGAGCAGCTGAGGCTCGGCACCCTGAGAGGCCACAGGTGAAGGCAGAGAGTCTGCCATGTTTGAGATGCAGGGTCATCACAGGAACATGGCAGCAGCTGATATGAAGTGTGACATGCTTTGTATGGCAAGTCCTATGAAGCCCAGAAGATCCTGAGTGAATCCCAGATTTGGGACACTGAGTACAGATTTAATTTATACTAATGGAATTTGGTTCTGCTCTACTTTGATTGTGTTTGGAGTAGGTAATGTTTCATTTATTTTTAGTTTTACAGGAGCCACAGTTGAGAGATTTGGATAATTTAAAGAGTGGTTGAACATTTTTAAAAAACTAATTTATTTAATTTTATTTTATGTGCATTGGTGTGAGGATTCCAGATCCCCTGGAACTAGAGTGACAGACAGTTGTGAGCTACTATGTGGGTGCTGGGAACTGAACCCGGGTCCTCTGCAAGAGCAGCCATCATGCTTAGCAAGCGATGAGACTGTGGGGTTTCTGAAAGTTAGACTGTGTTTTAAACTGTAACATTCACATGAGATCTTGGGGATAAAAATAAAGGAGAGGTTATGGTTTAATACTGATGTGCTTTTGTCATTAACACAAACCGGAGTCACTGGGAAGAGACCATCACCTGAGAGCAGGCCTACAGGTGTGTCTGTGGAGCATCTTCTCATTGATGGCTGATGTGCGAGGTCTATCATCACAGCAACAGCAAGCAAACTAGAGCACTCACTATGCCCTGGTGAGTGCTCACTAACCCTAGCTTCAACACACAGATGTGTTCAGAACTAAAATGTGTCTACTTATTTGTCTAGGTCTTTTCTTTAAACAGTCTCTCTGTAGTTGAAGCTGTCCTAGAACTGCAGGGAACATATCTCCCTCAGCCTCTTGAGTGCTAGGATTAATCAGCAGGTGGAAGCCTTCAGGCTCAACTCCCTTACTCCAGAATTTAGGTCCATGCCATGGTTAAGAGCTGCACTTCCAGAGGTCCCAGGTTTAAGTCCCAGCACCTACAAGGAAGCTCACAACTGTCTGTAACTCCAATTCCAGGGGATTGGACGCCCTCCTCTCACCCTGTGGGACTTAGGTGAAGGCAGTAAGCCTTCAGAAAAATGTCCTTCCAAACAAAACAAATGCACAAATAATTTTTTAAAAGAACAACTGGCCGGATGGTGGCACACACCTTTGATCCCAGCACTTGGGAGGCAGAGGCAGGTGGAGCTCTGTGAGTTCGAGGCCAGCCTGGTCTACACAGTGAGTTCCAGGACAGGCTCCAAAACTACAGAGAAACTCTGTCTCTACCCCCCCCCAAAAAAAAACAAACCAACAACTCAACAACTTAGGGCTAGAGCAGCAGTTCTCAACATGTGGGTCAAATGTCCCTTTCACAGGGGTTACATGCCAGATATTTACTTTATGATTTATTATTTTAAAGATTTATTTATTATGTATATAGTGTTCTGCATGCCTGCAGGCCAGCAGAGGGCAGCAGATCTCATTATAGATTGTTGTGAGCCACCATGTGGTTGCTGGTGATTGAACCCAGGACCTCTAGAAGATCAGTCAGTGCTCCTAACCTCTGAGCCATCCATCTACCCTACTTTATGATTCATAACAGTAGAAAAATTACAGATATGAAGTAGCAACAAAAATAACTTTATGGTTGGGGGGGTCACTGTATTAGAGGATTGCACCATTAGGAAGGGTGAGATGGGTCAGTGGTTAGTTACACTGATAGCTCTTTCAAAGAACCTGGTTTCAGTTTCCAGCAACCACATTAAAGTTCTCATCTATTTTTAACTCCTTCCAAGGGATACAGTGACCTCTTCTGGACATCTTGGGTACTTCACACACATGGTGCATATACATATACGCAGACGAAACACTCACACACATAAAATAAAAATAATAATTTAAACAGCTAAAAACAAAACAAAAGAATCTAGTGTCACCAAGACAGCTCAGTGGGGAAAGGTACTTGCAGTCAAGCATGGTGACCTGAGATTGATCCCTGGGACCCACATGTGGAGAGACAACTTCCCAAGGCTGTCCTCTGACCTCCACACACCTACTGTGACAAATGCCCCATCCCTACCACAGAATAAATAATTTAAAAAGATGCCCTACTCCTTCATTTCTTAAAAAACACAAATTATTATTTGTTTTGTCTTTTGTTTTTTTCGAGACAGGGTTTCTCTGTGT